AGTGAAGCGGAGCCTGACGCTTAGGCTGCTTATAGTCTGCGCCGGTCTCCGGACATCTGTCAACCGTGAGGCTAGGCAATTCAGCGTTTTGTTGTGCTGTCTGGGAGCTCTCACACAAGCGCACTATTACAGAATCTCCGCTTTCTTTACCTCCTTCAAAAGGCTTAGTCCCACTACCACAAAGAACGTCTGCTTTTCCTTCTACACTCTCACCCCCTGGTTGACAGAAGCCTTGTAACCAGTAGCAGGCAGCGGTCTCCACTTACATACATTTCGCGCCTATCGTATTCAGAAAATTCAGTGTGTCCAACTCATTTGTGTTGCACCACCATAATAGAATTGCTCAAGCCATTAAAACTCAGTGGAAAAAACCGCATGCGAGAGAAGTGGGTTTTTTGCATCGAAGGTTCAGCTAGCTAGCGATGTGATTAAAATAATAATATGCATTCTTATAGAGCAGAGCGCTTAAAAGCAGTGCTCATATGGTTGGAGGGCGGGACCGAATTTTGATTTTTTGATATTCGTTACTTAAACGAAAGAGAGAAAACGTCAAAGGATATTTCATAATCGGTAAACGCAAATGTTTATTTTTCCATTTTTTGCAAGACGTAAATCATTCTTGTCCAAAAGATTACTCTTGAGAAAAAATAAGTGCTGAAGAAGCGACTTTATCGGTCATTACACGGGAAGGGCAGAGCCTCAGGACACCGTTTTTATATGAGAATGAAGCCTTACTAGCAATGCATATTACTGGACACTTTGTCAAGGTCATGCGCCCTTGATTACGATGAGATGCAGTCAAATTGGCTTTGAGCCATGGAATAAGCAACCTGCCAGGGTTACTAAGTAACATGCAGTATATAGTGCTATCCTTCGGTGATGTGAAACCCAACTTAATTTGTTTTTGTGCGTCATTTCATCATCAGTCCAGGCCAGGGTCAAGCGTTTGTCGCGGATGCTGCGAAAAATGGGTTGCATTTTTTCGTTATAAGCTAAACGGCCGCCATCAGCTGCACAGAGAGCAGTGGTGGCCTGCTGGAGAACCTGAGACTAGGGGATGGCGCTACAGAGATTTTAAAAGCAAATGCTGTCTTCTTTTGCACTAGAGCGCGTTATCAACGTTAACGTTAGTAAATGACACATAAGTGAAATCAATGTGGTGTAAATAAGAATATGGGGCAAATTGGCTACCATACGGCCTTAGAACGATAGCAGCGGATTGGTTTGGCTCGTCAAGTACGAATGGAACATGGGCAAAACTACTCGAATAGATGTGCAAGTCTGAAATGGGTGTCGCATGCACGGCGCATCCCAGAAGGACTCTAAGTCTTTCTACTCCTGTTAACCATAAGCAACAGATGTGTTCTGGAGACTTTCCAAGGTTGACGTGGAGAACCCTGTGAGACTCAATGTTTACAACAAATTTTTTTTGACAACACTATTAATAAAATATGATTTTTTGCGGCATAAATATTCGTGGTGCATTTATTTCTGAACCGCCCTTCTTGCATAGTTGCGTACTGTGATCCAGGTTAGTAGCATGCGCATCTGAATATTTCTGTGGCTCACTTCACCCCTGCTCAGGCTCACCATTACAAGTTTAAAGCTGTAGGTGTGCGGATATATACCTTTAGTTTACGCCGCGATGAAGCTCACGACTGGGGTGAACGCCGCTTGCAACACCCTTATGCTATTGATTCTATTCATCGCGCTCCACTCTCATCGGTGCATGTGCTATTTCATCGCTGTGTCTGCGTCTCATGCCCCAGCTTGAGCGAACGTCACAAATCGATTGTGCACTTCCCGGTTTGCGGCTCGGTAAATGTTCGCGTACGTCGCGCCATGACCTAGCGACGCAACGCTAAGTGTATCGTTATCTTGTGAAAGATGGTAAAAGGTATTATAAATATTCATGATTACCCCAAACAGCCAATTTCCAACACTAGGCTCAAATCGCAACATCTCCTTCCTCTCTTTCACCTATTTAGAATTCCAGAAGCCATAAAAATTCTTTATTACAGGTGATCATCGCGTTCACCCTAGGTCTCGCTGCGACGGTGATCTACGCAGATATTGTATTTCCTCTAGTGACATTTTCTTTAGCCGTTATTCTCAAGTAAGTTTTTGAAAATCTGCACAAAATCTGTGGTTCCAGTGTTCAAATTGCTGACCTTATTATTTCAGCCGATCGTCGGTCGTAGGAAAATGTTCATAGATGAATCAGATGTGGTGCAACCTCTAAAGAATGGATACTATATAGGATTGTTGCTTCAAATGTATGTCATTTGATAAATTATGTTTGAAACTAAACCGCGTTAAGGAACATCACATCTACACTTCGTTTCCCGTTGAAAGATAGGCCAATGTATTTTTTCAGAAATGTAGGTGACACGGACATTTTTCCATAGTCGTCCCTTAGGTGTACTTCTAATTCTGCAGAATGGCTGGCGTACGCGGCTTCAAAAAAAATCGATTACTCCTGTGTTTCTGTTGCCGAGGCTGACTATTTACGATTCACCTCATTATAAGGGGCAAAGTGTATTATAAAGGGTGAATAGATGAGAGAAGTACTCAAACATTGTTTTCATGAAAAGGGAAAGAAAGTACACCAGTTCGGACAAAATTATCAGGTTGTTTTCAAATTGAGATAGTGGCAGACAGTAGAGAAAGGGGCAGTAGCGGACCAAAGAGAAGTCGGTCTGTCTGTCGGATCCCTGTTTCCACAATACTCCTTACTCTGGGATGTTAGTCGACCACAGAATAAATAGTTAGTCTACGTGTTCAGTTTTCTGGGATGGTCGAAAATTCCTTTTTTTTTCTCTTGACATGGGTTATACCTATGTAATAAACAAGTACAAGTACAAGATTGAGAGGTCAATTCATTTCTTATTTTTACCACTCCTCGCTTCCAATCTGCCTCTTATTCCGTCTACCCACTCTGGCTTTCTCTAATGTGTGCTTGCTGGCAGAACAAGCTACATATACGCTGGGTATGAGTGGAAATTTGCAGATGCATGCACAGCTTTAGAATGCGCACACATGGAAGAACCACGGCTTGATTTTTTTTCAGGGGGAGGTATGTGTGTTCGGGGAGGGGAGGCGGGGAGCAGAGTCAACCCTGCGTTGCGCAGTTCTCAACGGCCACGTTGCGCAGTTTCGCCCGATTAGACACGTTCTCTCGCGCGAACATTCACACTCGCATGCTCGAGCCGTCTGCGTCTCCGCCCATACAGCGTGCGTTGAGGATCTCTCAACGTGCCGTTGCGAACTGCGCAACGCAGGGTTGACTCTGGCGGGAGATGAGAGGAGGAATGTTAAGGGGACATGGAGGTAAGGGGGAGCGGAAGCTGAAGCACCACGCATCACGACACATTATTAAAGGCAAAGTTCGGGCTCAGACCCACCTAATAAGCCCTTAAAGTGGCTAGAAGTGCATGGGACGCAACTGCAGGCGACTCGCCAAGTTCCCGCATCGAAATGCGTCACTAAGGCGCTAGGGGCCAAGGACTTTGACACGCTCCACCTGTTGCGACACGCTCCGCCCACCGCTCGATATCTTGTCTGCGTCGCAATGCTGATCTGCTATGCTCTCTCTTCTCGGACTTCTCTACCGCTCTCCGCGCTCACATTATCTCTCATCTCCCTGCCGGCCTTTTGAACTTCTCCGCAGCGTAGAGCAAAAGGCTTTCCTGTGTATTTCACGATTTTTTTCCTTTTTTCTCCACTGGCGGTCCACCTCCCACCCCTACATCACATTTGAGTAGAATTACCTCATCAATTCAAGCTCGAATCTTGCCTTTAACGATGAGAATCAGCCAATCAAGGAAGTGGGGCGAGGCGGCTGAGAGGGCTAGAATCACCGAAGTTTGGGAATTCCTGCAACTTCCCTTAAATCGGACCTCCAACGTTTCCTATACCCACTCCTGTATTCTCTCATGCTACTAATCATCTAATCATTTCAACTTGTCTGTTCGCTTTCTAAAAACATTTTTTCTTGATCGCCACCATTTCCTAGTCTCTATCCATTGATAGCTGTAGCGTTGTCTTCTATCATTAAAAAGTCTTGTCAATTTCTAGGCAGCTTTAATTCTGTTTGAATCTCAAAATAATTTTTTTCGAGAATTTAATGAAGTAGGACCTATTGTTTTGAATAATTTCCAAATGCGTCGTAACTTCTTGAAAATATTTCAATACCTGAACAATCAGCAGAATAAACCAGTGACTCACACACGACTAGTCGACATTTTGCTTTGAGGATTGTGACCTCAAAACAATTTCCTGATCAGTTATGATTGTAGTAAATCCAGCGGAAGGCAAAAGGATTTAATCTGGCCACAATTTTCATATTTATTCGAAAGTGCTTCTGCAGCCGTGTTAAATCGTTGCGTTGAAATCTACGAATGCTTTCAATGAGTCATGATGGAAGGTACTGAATCTCGCGAGAAGCACTTCCTCGTCGCCAACAGCACATCGATGGCATGCTCGTCAAGCATTTTTCCAATTTCGTAGCTGTCGAACATCAAGAATCTCAGGTTCTGAAAAATCTATCACGCTATGTGCAAAAAGAAAAGGGATAAAGTAGTAAGGGCCCATTACTTGGCACTATAATTCCCACTGAGAAAGCCGTTGCTTGATTAGAGCCCTTTTGTAAAAAACTTTTTAGTTTGCACTAGGTAAGCACATATTAAAGGAATCTTCCACGGACCATGGACCAGTGGGCGGGACCGGAAGTTTTTGTGACGAAATGCATGGTAGGTACGGATCCACGTGTCGAACGCACGAACGTGAACAGGATTCACTTCAAACCTTCCCATGAACGTGGATCCGTACCTACCATGCATTTCGTCGCAAAACCACTTCCGGTCCCGCCCACTGGTCCATGGTCCGTGGAAGATTCCTTTAATGAAACACAGATCCATGGTTCATTTTCGCCAAGTGGCCCTGCGAAGACCATAAAGAATGTGAAGTAATGGCCCAGGGATCGGTTCCCGCTCGGATGATCAAGTTTGCATTTAAGAGCTTTTTAGATTTTTCCATCAATTGTAAACCAAAAATTCCTATTGCACGGCTTCACATCGCATCTTCACCGGCGCTGCAACCGTCCGACAACTCTCCTTCTGTTGCGCGCGCGCGTGCCTTTCTAGGGGCAGGTGAATATCCTTGAGGATTCCTATACGGATGCCGAGGATTCTCTGTCGAGGCAGAGCACGATCCTTTTCGCGACAACATTCGCATCTCGCCTAGGGCGCGCCTCTGCTGGCGCGCGGTGCTCCGCGGATGTCTTTTTCATTCTCGGCAATTACTCAGCTATGGCCAGAGTAATCCTCGACCGTATCACACTGCGGGGGGTACCAGAATATTATTCTATACCCTGGAATGAGCCATTAATGAAACTGATTCAAGAGTAGCGCCTTCTAAAGAAATGGAGACATAAAATTCCTATGGACCGTGGGAGCAATTCTGAAATTTATTATATGTAGTTAGTGGCACGTATATAGCGACTTTTGTGGCAACCCGCATGTCACCACTCACATGTTCTATGCGAATGAGCTTGAGCATTAACGGATGAAATGTTAGTTACGGGGAGCAGGCTTATATATCTAGCAAACTGTCCAAATATCTAATCGAAGTTGGAGCGCGAAGGCGTAACATTCATATCACATTCAGAGCACTTCTCGAGCGTACGATTAGATAGGGATACCAACCCGAGATTCCATCCAAAATCGGAGACCTAAAAGGCCCTTTCTTCGAGGGCATGCATGATGGTAGCAAGAAGATATGATTAAAGTGAAGCAGCAAGTTAGCAGCCATTTCAGTTATAGAGCAGGATGACAAAGTGTGACAAATATCCGAGCTACTAGTCGTATCCAGTTCTCAGTGAAAGAGTTATGATAGATATTGAGTGCCTTTCTTGATTAATGTGTCTTTAGCAACTCCACTTTGATTCAATATGGCTGGTCCCCCTCAACTAACATTTTCGCCTCAGTTACTCACTAGAAGTTCATGGTTTTGAAGTCACTGCCAGTCTCAGGAGACACCTTCGTCCGCAAACCCCACCCTTCCGCTGTCGGTTGCCACGTGGCGCGCTTAGAAGCGCGGGCGCATTTGAGGCAGCGGTCCCAGCGCGATCCAATGTTATTGACACTGGAGCAAGTAGAGTTAGGTTCGTGAAACTCGTCCAATTCGCGCCTCTTCTCTATCCCAAGGTGGAATGTGGCTGAAATAGGGGGTCTCTGTACGGGGCGTAATCGGTGGTTTCGTTTGCTTTCCTTCTCTTTTCAGACCACCTCCCACCTCTAGCTTTATAACTCGCTTTTCCACACCTATTTTGCCCGAATCATGCCTTTAGCTGAACATCCTTGTACAATATTAATGGAATAGCGTTGAATAGTAGGGCTCGTCCATGTCTACCAACCGCTATCCATGTTGGTCATCTAACTGTCACAAGTTACCATCTGTGACAGTAAGACGACCGACATGGATGACCAGCAGTTCTCGTGTGGTGTTATCCCGTTAACTTCTCGGAAATCGATTTTATCACGCCCAAATTCACCGGAACACGGAATACGGACCCGAAAGCTGAATGATTGCCTGGTTGACCATTCCATGGAAATCAGAATCGATGCATGGATTCTAATAACCATGCGAAAGGCGGAGAAGGGAGCGCTCATTATCTGGTCAGCACAATTTTAGGGTAGGAAAAACATAGCAAGCTTACGGAAATATTGTCACACGAATGGGATGGCGTTTCAGTTTTCTCTTCTTCCTCCTCTTCATCCAATTCTGCGTCGTCTTCCACCTGAACCAAATCAACTTCAATTTTCCATGGCGGTAATAAACTACTGAGAATCACTTACCACTTTCGTAACTGACTCGAGGAAACCGACTTGAGTCCAGGTTTCGTCGTCAAGCATGCATTCAAGCGGTAGACCGATGTCGTCCTGTAGACAAGTTATTTTCTTTCTAATATTCTGTAGCAATCCTCGTTAATGAATTGCTTCGTGCCCACCCAGCAGATGGGAGTTCCCTCCTGGACCTCGACAACGATCCCGTTGTCATCTCTCACCACCTGAACTTCGGCCTGCATTGTTTCGTGAACGGTGGAGAACTCACTCACTGAATGTGTTGAGTCATATTTTTCTTTGATCCGAGGTGAATGAAATAATAAAGCTCTTAGTCGAGTATTTAATAGATTACGACATTCAATTACGACATTCGAGTGTGGGCTCAACGAAAAGAAATCAAGTAGATAATGAAAAATATATAATTGGGGGCAATCGCAATATGCGGGGCATCCCCTGCGCCCGACTGAGCCTAGAGCGGCTGAAACCAGGGGTTCCCAGGGCAGGGTCAACCGTTACGTTGGACCGATATTGGAGCGACGTTGGACCGATGTTCACCGCTCTCCGCGCCGGCATTCACTCTCGCCACCCGCGAGCCGTCTGTGTCTCCGTGCGTACGTTCACTCTCGGCATTACTCTCGTCGTCGCGTTGGACTTTGTCCAACGGACGGTTGACCCTGTCCAGGAGGCGAGGGCCGACGCGGGGAGCAAATGAAAGTGGCTTATCACATTGTTGTCTCTCCTCCCTAGCCCAAGGCTTAGTCCCGTTTGCAGAAAAAAGAACCTGCTCCACGTATTATCTAAATGCGTTCAACCCACTGCCCCGCCCCTGCGATAGCGCCTATAATTGTTCCAATGAGCAACAAAATCTGCTTGTAAATGTGAACTGTCACTCCCGATGCTTACCGAGGGCCCGTGATTCGACATATGTGGGAAGATCTGCGAAGCTGTTAAGATAGAAAAATTCGCGTCACCTCCTAAATCAGCGCTTTTCCCTCTCTACACGACTGACCGAACGCTTTTCACCATCTTTTGCACCGATACGGGAAACAGGTGTGAGAAGGGCCGACAGGAACGCAAGCTGTGGTTCTCCATTCCCCGACATATGTATGAGCCATACATGCCACCGTGGCTTTGATCTTTCAACACAATTTTTGTTCCCTTTCCATAAGCAAAACTGGCTATTTTCCAAGATTTGCAAAGAATCTCTGTCGAGCTGTCGCCTGTAGGCGGAGGAAGATTTGAAAATTAATCTTGTGCAAAATGTTTTAAAAATTATTTACACTACCATTTGGCCCTGGAGTATACTGCGAGCAGAGCAGGCTGTGCGCGCGTGTGCTTGTGATTGGTTGAGTGTTCACGATAACCAATTGAAGTTGTTTGCAAATGAACCCCGTTTTTCTCGTTTCCCTGCTTTTCGAACGCCTTACATGGATAGAGTTGTTATGTTGTAGCTGTCAGACATTGCGGAAAGTTTTTGATTCCCTTCATAATCTATTTTTCTTCCTAATTTGGTGGACGACTCCCAACGGGAGGAAAGTTTCTGGCCCCTAAAGGCACGCTCGCCTGCTTCCATCCCGGGGGTAGTAGGCAGGCGGACAAGTGTTGATGTCGCGCCCCTTTTGCCGCTTGAAAGTGCGCGACAAAGGCGCAAGGAGCTCGTCCGACCCGCAACTCACACCTTCGTCCGCAAGCCCCACCCTCCGCTGTCGGTTGCCACGTGGCGCTGCTTGAAAAGCGCGGGCGCATTTGAGGCAGCGGTCCCATTGCGACCCAATGTCATTGGCACTGGAGCAACTAGAGTTAGGTTCGTGAAACTCGTCCAACGCGCCCCTTCTCTATCCCAAGGTGGAATGCGGCTGAAATAGGGGAGGTCTCTGTGCGGGGCGTAATCGGTGGTTTCGTTTGCTTTCCTTCTCTTTTCAGACCACCTCCCACCTCTAGCTTCATAACTGAACGCTTTTCCACACCTATTTTATCCCGAATCTTGCCTTTAGCTGAACATCCTTGTACAATATTAATGGAAAGCGTTGAAGTAGGTGCACTTGTTATGTTTTTCTACATATAACTGGCTCATGCAGCGTCACAAGTAAAAATAAAAGTAAAAGTTAAGATACCGCTCGTGGTTTTGAAGCCGTTAATTCGGCACTTCTTCTCCGGGAGCACCTCCAGGTCTAACTGGCTGCCATGGAATTGATGTGAGACTAACATTCATCGATAGCTTACTCAGCCTAGCAGGCGCCGGTGGAGGTGGGCACATCTGAATGCAGCAGCTTCTATATAACAAAAAAGAAAAAAGGAAAATTTCAGTTCTGCGATAAGACCAGTCCCTTTCTCGCAATGAAATCCTATGATTGCGGCGTCTGGACCCAGCGAGCTGTAACGCCCGTTGATGTCAGTTAGGGCTGTCATTAGAGACATTTTTTTTAGGATTTACTCCGAATAGTGCCCTATACCTGAAGAAGGGTGGTTCCTTTCAAACGATATAACTTTCCAGGGGTAGGTATATCCCCTATTTATTGTCGGGGCCATTTCAGAACGAGTTAGGACGGGAATGATCCGTCGTCAACG